TGGCTAAGAAGCCACAATACCAGATGTTTCTAGCCCGACCCCAAATCAGAACTCTGGGAAGGGCTGGACACTCCTCCTGTTTTCGTGTCCTGGACACACCAGCAGGCTCCAAGCCTCCTTTTTTTTTTTTTTTTTTTTTTAATGGGGTTTCACCATGATGGCCAGGCTGGTCTTGAACTCCTGACCTCAGGTGATCCACCCACCTCAGCCTCCCAAAGTGTTAGATTACAGGTGTGAGCCACTGCGCCCGGCCGCTCCAAGCCTTCTGAGTGTGCCTCTCTCCACAGAGGTGGAGATGTGCCACGCGGGCTGGGGAAGAGGAGGCAAGGGGCCAGGATATGAGGCACACGGACCGCTCTGTGGACCAGTGGCCCTCTGCCATTCCTACTCTCCCTGCCTGACCACCCCTCAAAGGTCTGGCTTTGGCATCTGTGCTGCTGTTCTCAGTAGATGCCTGGGGGAGCCCAAGCCTCCAGCAACCCAGGTTCTGATGCGGAGCCACGGTCCCCTCCTGTCGACCTCAGGCCCTCTGCACCTCTGCCTGCATGGCTTCCTCTGGCTCCTCTGCTTGATGACGCTGCCTTTCAGCAATTCACTGGCAAGCTGGTGGGCCTCCTGCCTGCCTACGTGTCTGTGTAGTCTTTATCCCTACCGCCCCAGACCTCTCATTCCCCAGGAGGGTGATGGCTGAGGAGGTATCTCCTCTGCCAAAGATTCTGTTCCAGCTAGCCCATCTCTCTGCCCCCAGGCACAACCAGCCAGGGCCACGTCTAACCAGATGGTTGTCCATTCTCCTCCAGACCTCAGAGGAAGGAGGCTCCCGATCTCCCTGGGCAACCTGGATCCCTGACAGGAGACTCTTTCACTTTCTGAGCTTGATCTCGGGTGATGACACACCCTGCAGGGCAGCAGCTGTGACTAATTCTGTGTTTTCCACTCTGCCTTGTGCCTGGCTGGTGCCTGGGATGCAAAGCTGCCAGCAAGAAAGGCACCCTGGGAGCGTGTGGGACGGCTCTGCTGCAGAGCTTTCCCAGGATAGCGAGGGGCGGGGCTGGAATGGCCCCAGAGAAGGTGGCCCCAAGGGCCGGGGCTCACCCAGCATGCCTCAGAGCTGCAGGATCAGATCTCAGCAGCCAGCTGGGAAAGCCACAGCCTGGCACCCAGAAAGGTAAGGGGCATGTGAGAGAGACCTTGGGTTTGAATCCTGGCCTTGCCACTTATCTCTGGGTATCCCTCGGCCTCCCGTCTTCACTTGTAAAATGGAGGTAGTGATAGCATCCAACTTGCTGATGTGCTTTGGGCAAAGAAGTAGGTAGAAATGGGCTTTAAAGGAAGGGCGTATGTGATCTCACTTTGTCCTACTGGATAGAATTACTTAGCCCCATTTCACAGGTGAGGAGCTTGAGGCATGGAAGCGCCCTCTGTGGCTCTGAGCCCAGGCTTCTGCCCCAAAGTCTGAACTGTTTCTTGATGCACCAGGCTCACTGCAGCAGTGGATGAAAGCAGGTTGGAGGCTTCATCATTCCCTGCAAAGCTGCCTGCTCGCCATGCTGAGTTCCTGCTGCTTCTGCCACTCCCTCTTCCCATCATCGTCTCTCCTCCCAAAACCAGAGCAGAGAGCTCTGGGGAGAAGGGCCCTTACAGAAAGATATGAATGGAATGCCACAGTGAACTCCATACACAAGAGATGGACACACATCCCTTCCCTTAGTCGGCATGGGCGTGGTCAGACACAGCCCCTAATGGAAGGAATCAGGGTACCTTTCTTCAAAGCAGAAATATGAGTACAGACTTGAGTGGTGCCATCAATGGTGTCCTGCTGCAAAACCCATGTCACCAAACTGAGTTCCTTCTCCCATGTGTGCAAGGCAGTAGACTAGGAGGTCACTTAATCCCAAACAAACCCAGAGAGCCACCAATCCCCACCCAGATGGCCTCTACAGCCAGACAACCACGGCCACACTGAAATCAGGGGCTCTGTCCAATTCTAGCTGGGTGAACACAGTCTCCCATACTTCTAGGCGGGGCAGAGGATGGAGCTTCAAGGGGACGAAGTGTAGAGAGAGGCAGAGATGGAAAGACAGGTGTACATCCCCACACTCACAAAAGCAAAGCTCTCTTACTCTGGAACCCTAGCAAACTCCAGCTGCTTTTCCCATCAGGAGAGGTTTTTCCCCAGAGCTCTGGCGAGGGTATCATGGTGCTTGGGCCTTGATGCGACACTGGCGCAACCCAGCCTGCCATAATGCTGTGAGCTCAGTGCTCCCAGGAGGGATCCCCACAGCCTCTAGGGCCTTCCCTGTGAGAGTGAGCCAGAGGGCAGCAGGTCTGCTCAGCTGCCAGGCTGTTGGCTCCCCAAGTATTTTTAGGGTGTCTTCCTTTTGTGTCAAAACCTAAAAATTTTAGATGCTTTTTTTTTTTTCTAATGGGGTTCCAATTTCCCATGTGTCTGCTATTCATTTGAAATGATTCATGGAAAAAGATCTTTGCTACCAATTTATTTGTGCTACAGATAGTGTGGTTTTTAAATAAACGGCAATCTAAACACATGCACGTGTGTCTGTTACCATGCAAGCTCAGCTGCTATAACCACATAGGGCCACACAACTCAGATCAGGAAGAAACCGTGATGCTGTGTGTTAGAGTACTGGGGGCTGGGGGCTGGGACCCTCCTGGGGGAAAGCCACAGGACACGACGCAGATGCCCAAGGAGGCTGAGGAAAGTGCCAACAGAGGAACGCCTGCCCCCAGGCCTACAGCCATGACAGTCTGAGGGCCCAGCAGCCAGGACAACCGGCCTGAAGAAGACTCCTGTCCTCTTCTCCAGTCACCTTTGTGTGGGTGACCCGGCCTCAGCCCGGCACCTTACCAAATAGCAAGCAAGCCTCCTGCCTCCTCCTTCCCAAACGTCTTCCCTGCCCTTTCTCCCTCCCAGCCCACTCCTTCAACCACAACACTTCCCCACAAAGCAGGAACAGCTGGGGCTTAGGGCCTGTGCTCTGGCCCCAGCTCACACCAAAAGCATCTTTGAGGATGCCCCGGCTCCACCTCCAGTCTTCTTGCTGTGTCAGGCCCGGGGTGGCCCTCCTCAGACTTGCATTTGCCTGCCAGCTCTCAGAGAAATAAAACAATGATGACATAATAAGGATACTAGCACTGATAACAGCAATGGTAGCACTTACTAGGCTCCTACGAGGTGAGTGCTGGGCCACCACTGTTTTACATTCCTCTTAGTGACAGGAGGTACAGTGTAGTGGTTATGAGGGGCACAGCTGTGTGGTGGGGCCAGTTAGTCTCTCCGTGCCTCCACTTACTCATCTGTAAAATGGGGCTCTGAAGAGCACCTCTTTCCTGATAGTATATGAATTAAGTGAGCATCCACCCGCAAAGTGCTTAGCACAGTGTCAAGCACATAGTAAATACTTAGTAAATCCGCCTTAGTGCCTTTGTTTTCTGGGGCACTGAGAAAGCAGACCTGGCTGTGGAGCCAGCTGTGGATTGCAGAGCTGATGAGACTCAATGCCCCACAAAGACAGCAGGCAGTTAGGTAGGGCACTGCAGAGCCTCCAGAACTTCCAGTGTGGAGGTCTCAGATTGTCTTCCCGGTAGGGTGCCGAGTCCCGTGGGCTCTGCCTCTCCTGGGCCTCACTGTGTAGTGAAGTGTGTGCAGACAAGCCTTCCCAAACCAAGTGCAAGCCTTTCCCACTTCCTGGACCCTCAAACTCACAACTCTTGAGCCCACGAACAAACCTTACCTTAAGTGGCCATGCAGTGGCCTCCATGTGAGGTTCATGCCAGTACATACGAGGTTGTGGACAAGTTATAAAAAAGCACATTTTTGCCCAGCGCAGTGGTTCACACCTGTAATCCCAGCACTTTAGGAGGCCAAGGCAGGCTGATCACCTGAGTATGGGAGTTCAAGACCAGTCTGACTAACATGGCGAAACCCCATCTCTACTAAAAATACAAAATTAGCCGGGCATGGTGGCAGGTGCCTGTCATCTCAGCTATTTGGGAGGCTGAGGCAGGAGAATCGCTTGAACCTGGGAGGTGGAGGTTGTGGTGAACCGAGATCGCACCATTGCACTCCAGCCTGGGCAACAAGAGCAAAACTCCATCTTAGAAACAAAACAAAACACAAAACCAAAACAAAACACAAAACCAAAAACCAACCAAACAAAAAATAATAAAAAAGCATATTTTCCAGGCAGAAAATGTCAAAAAAGCAGCCCTCTGAGAAGACCAATTAGAAAAGGTATCCTGTCCTCAGGCTGACACGGCTCCCTGTGCATCCCCTACTCATGCCCCTCACTGGGTTCTGTTGTGCAGTACACAACCTACACATCTGTTCTTTGTAGCGCTGCCTCCAGCTAGGAAAGTGTTGGGACCCTCTAGTGAAAGTACCTGACTAGGAGCCCACAGGCTTGGGTCCAGGGGCTATTCAACTCCTAACCTGCTGGAGATCAGACAGCTGCCAGGGCCATGATGGTCTCTGTAATGGATAGGGCAAAACACGCCCAAGACCCCTAATAACAAAGATGGCAGCAGTGGTCATTTCATCACTTTTGAATGGGATAACCCCAGGAAAAGAGGTGACAGCTACCACTGGCCAAGGGCCAGTTACCACCCAGCCCCCATCCTACATGCTTTTTCTCAGAACACTAACATTCCTAAGTGTGTGTGGCTATCACATTTTATAACAAGGCAGCTGAATTTCAGAGAGCCCAGTGAGCACGTGCCAGACTGGGCACGAGGCCAAAGCCCATGTTCTGAGCCTCAGTGGTTCCACGGTGCATCAGCTTAGGGTATAGAAAAAAAAAAAAGTCCCGCTGCACACCAGTGCAGGCCTTCATCCGTCGGAATTCCTGGCCGCCTCCTCACAGGCACAGAGCACAGCTCCAGAGCCCCTTTCTCACCCTGTCAGTCAGGCATCAGTCAGTCGGTCAATGCATATTTGGGAGCACGTCTCACCAGGTGCTCAGCCCAAGGAAGATCCCTACCGTTCATTGTTCAGGGTCATTCTCGGGGGGTCCAGGTTGGGGTTCTCCATGGACTCCATCTGTGGACATCGCAGGAAGTAGTAGAGCGTGTGGAGGGCGTCGGGGGACCAAGTGATGGGCTGTGGCGGCTGGCGGGCCTGGCGGGCAGGGCTGGCACCCGGGCAAAGGGGGTGGCGCCCCTGCATGTGGTGCATGGCACGGGAGACCAAGTCACCTGGTGGGGGGAGGGGGCATGGAGGGCAGAGGGGAGGAAGAGGAAAAAAAGAAGACAAAGTCTGAGTTCACAGCCCGTATTCTTCCAAGGATGCTCCTGGCTGAAGCTCCCTAGCCTTAGCGCGTAATTACTGTTTACCCTGCAGCTAACAGGCGGGCGGAGGTGGAAGCTGTCACCTAGATGCACAATAGCAATTTCGTTTCCCTTTCATTTCCCTCTGGCTGAATTAAATACTTGGCAGGGCCTGTCTCCTCCAGAACTTAGGCTAATGTGGTTTCTTTTTCGACATCCCCACTCTCTCCACCACCCCCATGGGCCTCTCCCCAGATCTCTGACCGAGGGAATCTCTCTGGGTCTCTTTTCCCAGCCTCTACCAGCCAGAGCCAGGCTCTGTGGCAATTCTCCCCTGCACTGTCTTGTGCAAAACTCAGACTATTTCAGCAGAGAAGGTCCCTCTGTCTCAGCACCAATTACAATCACCATCACCACCATCATCACCTGCTGAGGACTCATTATGTGCAAAGTATGCAGTTCCCTAGAAATATGATTTAACTTAATCCTGACAGTGCTAGGGGTAAGTATTATTCCCATTTTACAGATAAAGAGCTTGAAGTTTATGGCCGGGCACAGTGGCTCATGCCTCTAATCCCAGAACTTTGGAAGGCTGAGGCAGGCAGCTCATGTGAGGTCAGGAGTTCAAGACCAGCCTGGCCAACATGGTGAAACCCCGTCCCTACTAAAAATACAAAAAATAGCTGGGCATGATGGCACTAGCTTGTACTCCCAGCTACTCAGGAGACTGAGGCAGGGGAGTCGCTTTAACTGGGGAAGCGGAGGTGGCAGTGAGCTGAGATTGTGCCACTGCACTCCAGTCTGGGTGACAGAGTGAGACATCGTCTCAAAAAAAAAAAAAAAGGACTTGAGGCTTATCTGATAAACAAACATTTCCTGACCCCATGCACTCATTCTGGTCACCGATGCCTCAGAGCCCACATATTAAGTTAACTAATCATGGCTGTGTGGCTAGAAAACGGAAGAGTCTAGACTTGAATTCAGGTCTGTTCGACTCCAAAATCCATGGACTTCACTGTGAACTATAGGCTGCAGCCTGCTCTGCTGGAGCCTGTGGGATCCCCATGTCCTGTGTTGTGTCTCTACCCAACTCAAGTCTTTTCAATGTCTCACCAGCCCCAGACAGGAAATGCCTATCATTGTGTGAGGCCACAATGCTGAGGAAGGATGAGCTGAAGCAGCCCCAGAACCTGCAGGCACCTCCGCTCCAAGAACAGCAGCTCCTTCCCACTCTCATGGGCCTGAGCTCTCAGGGAGGCTCCCTGGGGGTCAGCTTCAGCCCCATCCCTGGTGATTCCTTACAGAGAAAGAGAAGTCCCCCCTTACATAGTGATCAGAGCCTCAGTTTCCTCATCTGTAAAGTGAAAATGGTAGTATCTACCCCACCGATTCTGAGGGCTCAAAGAAATAATAAATGGAAAGCACTTTACATTATGCTTGGCATAGAGTCAGTACTTGGTAGGGCTGAACTTAGATTTAACTTACAATTAATGTCCTGTTATTATTACTCCTTTATCCTACAGGCTGCCTCCTGTGGACTCTTCCTTCCAGGCCCACTGCCTGCCATCAAACTCTGCCCCACATTTCCCAGGACAGGAGGAGTCTGTGCCCTGAAATGCCAGATCCCAACCCTGCCCTTAGGCTTCATGGGTGGCAGAAACTGGCATCACAACCATCAGCCAACCTACCTCACAGCAGCCAGTTATACAGCTAGGTTGGCTGCTAATAAGTTGAAACCTGGCTCCCATTTCTCCAGGTCTAAATGTCATAACTTTTGGCAGAATCACAGGACCACAAGGAGGAGAAATCAAAGAGTCTGTGATAGCATCAAAGAGAAATCTTGTTGAAATATCATTTCCAAGGCTCGACAAGGTAGAAGGCATCATCCTTAATTATTTTTATTGTTATTTCATTGTTATCGGTGGAGAACCCTTTGGCAGCATACTTCCTGCTGCATGTAGATAAGAAAATCAAGGAAGAAATGGAATCTCCCTTCCAAACTGAGGGAGATAACCCAAAAGTTCAGAAAAACCATGAAGACAGCTGGAGGTGGACATCGCCCACTGCTTCCATTCAAGCCCTGCTGTGGCCAGTTTCTCTCAAACACCAGAAAGACAGAGGCCTGCAGAGAACTCTGACTGTGACGTCTAAAAACTTAATGCTGTGTGGCAACCCATTTATGGGTAAAAAAAGTAGCTTGCTTTGAACATTCTCCCAGGGTGATTTTTGCCTCCTGCCACTTTGTATTTTCTAGGCTTCATGATAGACGTGAAAAGATAGACAAAATGTCACTTAACTTTTTCAGCCACCCCTGTAAGACCTTTCTACTCTACAGACAAGGAAACCAGCTTACAGGAGTTAAATGATCCATCCCAGTTCCACAACTAGATAACTAGTAATCAATCAGCCAGGATTCAAACCTGGGGTCCTGCTTCCCAAATGCATGCTCTTGGCCATTGCATGGCTGCTACTAAAAGTGTGATCTGTGAATGGGGACAGGTCCACACATTACTGGTTTGTAGCACGTTAATTTCAGAAGAATGAATTTTTTAAAACTTACATAGCAATTGGACAGTAATTTTATGTCTAGCTAATGTAATAATAATTTTAAAGATTGGGCTTGCATTTCACATGTCTTATTTCCCTTTTCTAGACATTCATTTTGATTGTACATTATAAAGGTTTCATTCTGCAGCAGAGTAGGGGAAATAAAATCTCTGATCCTTTACCATAGCTAGTGTGAGAAGTCGTGATCCAGGCTGGGCTGGGCTCTTGGTTTAAGCATGGTGGCAATCAGAGCTTCTTCTGAAACTTCCCTGTACTTGAGAATCAGTGGATCCTACACTCAATGAAACCTTAGTCTGTAGCCCAGAAACACCCACCAGGCAAGGAAAAACAAGTCCTCCCTCCTTGTTAACCATGAAAGACTTGATTAGAGGTGCTAGGTTTCACTCTGGTCCTTCCACCCCTCATTATGAGCCATCAAATAAAAACAGCAGGAGAGAGTCTGGAATTCAGCACCGGATTCAATATAAGGCCTTGAGCATCTGGCTCCCTTCAAAAAGAATTGTTTTGTTTTGTTTCTTTTGTATCCTCTCCCTTTAAAATTTTTGTGGGTACAGAGGGACAGAGCAAAGGCACAAATCCCAAAACTCCCTGTGAAGCTGGACCTCATACAAGAGTGAAACTTCTCACCCTACCTGGCAGGCTGGTGTTGGCGAGGTGCAGGGAGTTAATGCATGTCAACCTGGGGTACACGCTGAGGTCCAAGGGGCTCAGTGCCAAGTATCACTGGCCTCATTAAGTTCTTTAGTCTCAGGGAGAAAAACTGCAATATCTGCCTCCACCTCCGTCTCCTCCCTCCTCCACAGCGGGTTAGCAAAAACCCTGGTTTCAGAGGGAGGGACAGGGCAACGTGGCATGTGACACAGCCTGTTCTCTGGTCTGTAAAAAGATGCTATGAGGGGGCTTCTTCCCTTGGCCCTGAGGAGTGGCTGGGCCAGAATGTGGACCAATCCTAGGTGAGTTTTAGGAGAAAACGTTTGGTGGGACAGACCTCATTATTCCTAACACATGCATACTCACAGGCATGCACGTGTGCACGCGCGAGCACACATGCACTCACGCACACACACATGCGCACACGCACATGCACGCTGCACCTCAGGTACTGTTCTTTGTACCAGGTACTGTTCTAAGCAATGAGGACACAGCCATGGAAAAGGGAGATCAAGTCTCCAATCTCATGAAGCTGACTCTTCTAGTCAGAGGAGAGAGATGACAAATTATTCCTAAGTAAATGCAGAATACATGTCATGTGGTGATCAGTGCTTTAATGAAATCAAAGTCACAAAAGGGAAGACAGTGGAATGAGGGCGTGGTGTTCACGGAAAGCCTGAATGAGAAGGTGCCATTTGGGCAGAGGCTTGAAAGTGTGACGGACCAATGTATTTGGGTATCGGGGGAAAGTGTTGTAGGCAGAAGGAAAACCAGTGCAAAGGCTCTGGAGTGGGAGGGTCCCTAGCCAGGAGGCCAGGTGGCTGAAGTGTAATCCACAGAGAAAAGATGAAGTGATGAGGTCAGATCACATACGGATCCTGGGCTAGAGTGAGGATTTTGGATTTTACTGAGTGAATCAGGAAGCCACTGTGGGGTGATAGAGGGGGTAGATATTGAGCAGATAAGTGACAAAACTCAATTTAAGTTTTAAGTGGGCAGCTTGGGGCTGGGTGTGGTAGCTCATGCCTGTAATCCTAGCACTTTGGGAGGCCAAAGCAGGGTGCTCGCTTGAGGTCAGGAGTTCGAGAATAGCCTGGCAAACATGGTGAAACCTCGTCTCTATTAACAATACAAAAATTAGCTGGGCATGGTGGTGCACACCTGTAATCTCAGCTACTAGGGAGGTTGAGGCAGGAGAATCTCTTGAACCCAGAGGCAGAGGTTGCAGTGAGCCAAGATCGTGCCACCACACTCCAGCCTGGGTGACAGAGTGAGGTTCCATCTCAAATAAAACAAAACAAAAAATGGTCAGCCTGGGCTCGGTTGGTAGCAGTGGGGGTGGTGAAAGGGGCAAACTGAAACTCAGGATCGTTTTAGGTGGTAGAGCCCACAGGTCTTGGCCCCTTGGCCAGTGGTAAAGGTGGAAAGATGTCAAGCCCTTCCCAGGGGGAGGCCTCTGAATGCTCCTCCCTTAGGCTGGCCTGGGGCTGTAACGAGGATAGGGCTGCCATGAGAAGAGGCAAAGGATCAGCCCCTGATCTTGACCTCAGCTGTCCCACGGAGCTAATGGCTGGACTGCTCATTTTATCCAGGAAGCCCACAGCCCTAGACATGTCCAGAGTCAAGCCCCCGGCTCTGATCCATGTGACTCGGAGAAGAAAATCACTTTTCTTTTCTAAGCCTCAGTTCTCTCATCGGGATATACCTTGCTGAGTTGCTCTGAGGAACAAATGAGACAAAGTGAATATGGTGCTTCACAATGGTGCCTCGCACACAGAAGGTGCTCACTTAATGTTCAAGTGTAAAGTAAAACCAAAGTGCTCTCCAGTGGACTGAGGGCTGTGTCCTCGAGGCAGGAGAACTCACCAAACCACGACTGTGCTAGGCCCTGAGACAGTCCATTGTCCAGGAGACACTTCTCAGGGGTGGAAATGGAGCCGTACACCAGAGCCCACTTCCTGTGGGGTCCCTCAGGGGACAGGGGACCCAGGCGACAACATCCTGACCCTGCCTGCTTTCATGTCACCAGGAGACAGGGAGTCAGAAATCCTGCTTTCTCTCCCACCCCTATGGCGGCTCTGCTCTGTGACCTTGAACCAGGCACCTTCATTTCCCGTCCGGAGAGGGGGCAGAATAATGCAGGGAAGGAGGAAGCCACATCCTGAAGAAACAGAGGCTTGCCGTTTATTGCTCAGGGGTCAGAAGACTCAAGGGAATCACGATGGGGAAGGCAGGAGCAGAGGGAAACTCAGCGTGTGCCCGTGCTGTGTGCTGTGGCCCCTGCACTTGGTGGGCTCAACAGAGCAAGGGGGAATGAAGGCAGCAAGGTATGTAGCTCGATTTCCCAAATAAAATGGGTCATGAGAGGGGGAGCTCAGGAGCCAGCAGGGATTTCACCCCTCCTAACACCCTGGAAGCAGCTGTCAATGGTAAAGAGCCACATCAAGATCCAGATGTGTGCCTCAGAGCCCCGAGTCCTGGGAGCTGCCACCCAGCCACACCTGCCTTCAGCCAGAGGAACACTGTTATCTTCCTTTTTCTACACTGAGGCTTTGGGGGTGCTTTTTACTGAAGGAGCACCAGTTGTGAATTCAGAGCCTGTGGGGCCAGGCAGGTGAAATAAGTGAAACTGGCCGCCTGGGTGAAACCCAGGTCTCTGGCAAAATGGGGAACACACGCCGCCCACTTCACTGCTACCTAGCTCCTGTGGATCACTGCTGTGCCGGAATGGGGTGCCATGTCGCTAGATCATCTGGTTTTTCAAGAGAAACCAAAAATCCAGATTTGTGTATTTGCAACCTCTTGATCTTCAAGGAAGGCAAGGCACTCGGAGGAGGAGGAGGCCAGAGCCTAGAGGGCGAGCTCTCCCTGCCTTCCCCCCACCCTGGGGCCTCGCTGTCATGCTGCCATCTAGCTAGACACTGAGGCCACACTTACTCAGCTCTGAGATGCTGCCCACGCAGGTGGCCAGGAGGGACTGCTCCAGGGTCCGGAGCTCCAGTTGGGCATAGGCGTCGGCTCGCTCGTCATGGCCCAGGGACCCGCCATTGTAGGGGCTGAAGTACGCAGGGAGGGAGAGGACACCTGTGGGAAAGAAGGCACACAGGTCACACTTAGGAAGGAGGGGAAGCTTGGTGGGCCCCAGCCTGCTGTGGGCAGGGCTGAGCCCTGCTCCCCTGCTCTTGAGAGCGGTTCAGTAGGCAAAATCTCTTTGAGCCTTGAGGACTTGGGAACTTTGACTGTGGATGACGGTGCTACAGGGACCAGAATGAGAAATAGCTCACTTCTAGCTGTGGTTTTAAGCACGTGGAGGCCGGGCGTGGTGGCTCAGGCCCGTAATCCCTGCACTTTAGGAGGCTGAGGTAGGTGGATCACCAGCCTCAGGAGTTTGAGACCAGCCTGACCAACATGGAGAAACCCAGTCTCTAATAAAAATACAAAATTAGCTAGGCATGGTGGCGCATGCCTGTAATCCCAGCTGCTCGGGAAGCTGAGGCAGGAGAATTGCTTGAACCCGAGAGGCAGAGGTTGCAGTAAGATGAGATTGTGCCATTGCACTCCAGCCTGGGCAACAAGGGCAAAACTCTGTCTCAAAAAAAAAAAAAAAGAAAAAGCACATGGAGACCATCCTTTCTTGGAAGTGCCCAAGAAACTGGCCTGCTTGGGCTCCTGGATCATACAAGCATTCATTCATTCACTCACTTGCTGAATGTTTACAGAGTGCCTGACTCAGCACACGTGTTGTGCTACACACAGGGTTCTGGGGTGACAAAGAGACTGGCTTTGTTTTCATACAGCTCAGGGATGCCCGAGTCAGATGTAAATGCCCATCTTGCTTTCCTGAAGGGCAGTGCCACCCTGAGTCCTGTCTTTTCCCCATGCTGGGAACAACCATTCGAAAGGGATAGTGCCTTCCCCACTCCAAGAAGGGGACGTGTCCTAGCCATGGGCCAAGTCCAATTAATGTTTTTCATTAACACTTCAACAGCAGCAGAGCAGAACTGTCAGAATCAATCCCAGAGGGTGACAGCCTGTAAATTTCTGCAACTCCCTATGCGGCTTCTTAGAAAGCACCAGAAAAGCAAAATCAGACTGGTTTAAATACATGTTGGCTCTTAAGAGCATGTGGCCACAGAGATTGTAGTTGTAGTCAGAACCTAGGTACGGATTCCCAACTTTCGGTAACCACTGTTTCTTTAATGGACACATCTTTTTCCAACACTTAGTCACAACCATTATTTTTTTCCTTTTTTAAAGAAACCCACAGGAATTTAATCACTTTTGGAGAAATTCTCTGAAAACTGCTTGAGATAACTGGAGAGTCCTGGGATGTGGCCATGTCTGGGTTTGAATCCCCCAAACATGTGTGTTGTAACAAGGACAATAGCAGCAACAGGTACAGCAGGCAGGGCTTCGGAGCAGAATGCTGGAGTTTGTAATTCCGGCTGCCGCTTAACCAGTGGTGTGATCTTGGTCAGGTTACTTAGACTCTGCATCGGTTCATCATCTGTTAACTAGTGATAACTAGAGTGCCTAGCTCATAGGGTTGCCGTGAGGACGAAGTGAGTAACTGGAGGTCAGTGCTTGGAGCAACGCCTGGCTCAGAGTACCTGCTCTATCAAGTGCTGTTGCTATTATTTTTACTTTGTGCTGGGAACATAGGCCTTATTTACATAATCTCATTTATTCTTTCAACAACCCTATATAAGGCCAGGTGTGGTGGCTAACACCTGTACTCCCAACACTTTGGGAGGCCAAGGTGGGCAAATCTCTTAAGGTCAGGAGTTTGAGATCAGCCTGGCCAACATGGTGAAACCATCTCTCTACTAAAAATGCTAAAATTAGCCAGGTGTGGTGGCAGGCACCTGTAATCCCAGCTACTCGGGAGGCTGAGGCAGGAGAATCGCTTGAACCCAGGAGGCAGAGGTTGCAGTGAGCTGAGATTGCACCACTGCTCTCCAGCCTGGATGACAAAGACAGTGTCTCAAACAAACAAACAAACAAACAAAACCCTAAGAGATAGGTACTACTGGCTCCATTTGAGATATTGGGTGACTGACATTCAGAGACTTTGAATAACTTGCTCAGGTAAGCGGTAGAGCTAGGATTCACACGTGGGATAGACGGGCTCTACAAGGTATATACTTAACTCCTCTGTGAGCTCACAGTCCAATGAACACACCACCAAAGCTCACTCGTGGCTGTCCCTATGTGCGGCTGGTGCCTGTGACAACATGGCTGTATTATTACTGCCCGTTTCACACGTGGACACCCCCATGCTGAACGCCATGTGTTTCTCTTTCTTGAGCAAACATGCACAGTCGTCTTCCTCCAGCCCAGGGCCTTAGTGCATTCTCTGGCCATTCTGTAGGTTCAGCTGATGGTCAATCTTGCCCTCACAGCTCCACCTTCGCCTGACCCAGGCCTTCCCACTCTCCTCCAAGCTGATGTGGTGGAGCCCCCTCTCCATTTGTCTCTGCCTCTCCTGGACGGCAGCGACCCCTCTCATCACATCCAGCACTGACTTAGCTAAGCACCGCTTCAAAGCCCTTCCTCCAAGCTTTGTTTCTGTTGGAGGAGGGGGAAGCGTTCATGACTGGGCTCTGCCCCGTAACCCCCTAGCAGGGCCCCAGTCCATAAAGCAGAAACTCTCTCTGGCAGCTGAGTAACCAAACACATTGGGAAGAGCTGGCTGTAAGCATTAAAACAAGTAAAACAAAAGGGAAAACCACCCCAACTACAAGCTGAAACCCACGACAGCCCGAACGGCTGGGAGAGCCCCACTGCAGGCCAGACTCCTCCTCCTTTCTCCATTATTAATCTACAGAAACAACACTGGAGACATGTGGATCAAATTTACAGAGCTTAGGACAAGGGAATAGGAAATTCAGCTGATTTGTCAAAGGATTCCCAGAGAGAAATATTATGTCAGTGGAGCTGGTAACAGGAGCTGGCAGCTCCATTAATAATAGTTCCCATTTCGCCAGTCGTCACCCACCCAAAGAGGCCTTCACTTAATACCGTGGCAAAAGTAATTAGAAACCTATTATTAATAATAGTTATTGATAGCACCACAGCTTTTGCCTAGTACCTTTTGCTTTTAAATGACTTTTTACATCGAGTAATTTGTTCTTCCAGCAAGGGAGGTAGGGTGGTCATGATCAGTAGCAACCACAACTGACTTTTATTGAAGGCTTACTATGTGCCAGGCATTTACATGTATTATCTCATTTAACACCCCAGAACTGCAAGAGGTACATTCCTACCCATCTTACAGCTGAGAAAACTGAGGCCTGAAAAGGCACAGTGGCTTGCCCAAGGTCTCTGAGAGTCTGAAATGGAACGGGGACTAGAGTTTCAATCTCTTCATTCTCAAGCTGCTGAAATAAATGACATTCTAACTTTGCTCATTTTGTCCTTTCGCAAGCTAAGCAGTGCCTAGGATACTGGAGAGGAAAGGGGTTCTGTTTGGGCCTGAGGTTTAAGAGGAGGAAATTCAAAATAAGACCCAGAAATAGGACTTTCCCTTTCATGGGTCTCCAGGAATCTCCTGCCAAGGGTCCCTGGAGGCCTCCCATGAAACTCTACAGACAAAAAGCTGTCTGACTCCCTCTGATCTTTGCAGAATGCAGTTCCACAGCTTGTCTTCCAAATCTGCTCCATAAGAAAGTCCTCTCTACGTAAATTCTAAATTCAGTCTCCCATAGCAGCTCATTCCTCAGCAGTTCTCATCAGAGATGGAAAATATTTTCTTTACATTCTCTTAACACCTCGATGTCTTCCTTTTCACATACAAATTCCCAGCTCTAGGATAATGGGCCCAGGGTAAGATCATTCTAGGGAAAAGTGGTCTTTAAAAAAAAAAAAAAAGAAGAAGAAGGAAAGGGCATCTATTTTTTTCCATTCAGTAAAATCCTTAGGAAAAATTCTTCCTTTCAGTCATGATGGAGAAGAAAGCATGCGGGGCCATTTCCCTCTTTCCCTTTATTAGAGGGAGTAGGGGCAACTGCTTTGAAACCCTGTAAAAGCCACAGACAGACCGGCTCGCACCGCCCCGTGCTGTGACTGTGAGTGAGTTGCAGAGTGTGAAGCAGTGAGTATGATCCAGTTACCCTTCACCTCCCGCCTCTAAAACAGCAGCATTTCTGTTCAGTGTGCCACTCAAATGTGCTGCAGACTGTCCTGAAGCTGGATGTTTCTCAATCTCTACACAGAACCCTAATCCTCCATCGCTCAACTTTTCTCATTCTGGTTGCCCAACCCTTGAACCTCAGACTCATTATCTTGTTCCCCAAAGCCTCCACCTTCTCTTCCACCGCCTCTCTCTGCGTACAGCACTGTGACCACCCCGCAGCCCAAGGAGAGACCTGTCAGTCACTCTTACTGGTTCTCTCCCTTCTCAGGCACTTCCCATCAACCACCAAGCCTTGCTGTGTTTACCACCAACATATCTCAAAAATCCTTCACTGCCACCACCCCAGTCAGGGACCATCTTCCCCTGCCCGCTACCCTGGACCTGTGGCAGCCTCCTCACCCATCCCCGTCCTCCAGGCGTGCCCCACCCCTTACTCTGGTCACCTTGCTCTGGCTTTGTTCTCTTCAGTAACTCCCCATCAGCTTCATGAAGAAGTCCAAACTCCTTTGCACATCTAACTATTCTTTAAGAATCGTTAACATCCTGGCCAGGCGTGGTGGCTCATGTCTGTAATCCCAGGACTTTGGGAGGCTAAGACACATGAATCACTTGAGGCCAGGAGTTTGAGACCACCATGGTGAAACCCCATCTCTACTGAAAACACAAAAATTAGCCAGGTGTGGTGGTGCATGCCTGTAATCCCAGCTACTCGGGAGGCTGAGGTAAAGGAGGATTGCTTGAACCTGGAGGTTGCACTGAGCAAAGATCATACCACTGCACTCCAGCCTACAGAGCAAGACAGTGTCTCAAAAAAAAAAAAAAAAAAAAACTAGATAACATCCTTCTCTGCTTTTTGAAATTGAAGGAGAAAAGTAAGTCTGCCAGTAAACTGGAAAATTTCCCAGCACCTCCCAGCGTATCAGCAGAGTTAGGCACCCTGTGCTCACTT